AAGTATAAAAATCTCCTTGGTGTTACGTGTGGGTCATCCAGTAATCTAAGGTACCATTCAATAGCCGAATCTATTTTGCCATTCATTTGCTCCACTTTTGCCCGAAATATATTCAGCAATAGATTCTGTTAAATGTGTAAATAATATATAATCAAAATAAAGCACTTATTGTTGAACAGGTATACAAAACTATATCCCTTTGAAGAAAACGACAAGGGGCATCAAGCCTTACTTTTATATTACTTACTGTATAATACTAAACAATACTGTAGAGTATTATTAAAGTATATTTTAAAATAGTCTTTGGTATCTTTCTAAAAGATATGAGTGGTCCCTGCTGAATTATATTCTTTGAGATACACTGCTTTATGTTAAAGCAATAGCAATAGCAAAAGCTTGATGTAAATGTATGAGAGATCATACTTCTGCAGTAAGTAACTAATATGAATGAAAAATTCAAAGAGTAGCTTATGTATTACATTGTAATGCCAAGTAATGCATTGGTTTTCACATTTCATATACAATTTGAATTTTTGATTCATATACAATAAACATATAAACATAGTTTAACAAAAAAATAGTTAAAAAATCAAAATATGAGTTACTTTAGGATATTTATTGAGTTCCTTGTTTATTAATTCCATACAAAGTTGCACATTTATCGGACCATAACCTCCATGTGTATCCCAGTAGCACCAGTAGAATATGAGAAACACCTTTGATAAATGGCTAAATAAACCAGGTAACTCAAATGCTGCTTTGTTAAAATTTTTCCAGCCCATACTCTCTACCCCTTTGACGCCCAGAAAGTTTATAATTCGCAGTATTTTTGGGGGAAAATTACTGATGAAGAGATGGCAGAGACCGTTACACCAGCGGACAGTCGCCTCAAAATTAAGTCTCGATGTCTCGCTTTCCCAATGGGAACGGGTTCTCATGATTATCTTACAATAGCTTTAAATATAATAAACATGATAGGTTATTACAAACACGTATTAATATTAATTTGTTAGGGTTTAAAAGTAAATTAATAACATAATACTATTATATTATAGCATTAATACATATTGTATATTAATTCTTATTAATTTCTATTTTATTAATACTACTGTGTATAATTCCACTACAAATTTTTGTCAATACATTATAATAAAATATGAAATGACCCGTGTTATAAAGGTAATCTTAAAGAATTATGAATGGAAATAATTACTTACTTGATATTTTTAACAAACTTTTGCAACCGATATGCTAGTTTAATTAAGGCATATATGCTGTGGGTTTCGATGCTTAATATAAGGGCGCTTATTAACAAACTCACGGCATGTACTAATTCAGCATGCACTTCCACTATACATTAATTTTTGTAAATTAAGAATTTTAATTAAAAATTTTTTGTTGAATATAAATCATAAAAGTATGTTAACTCACAATCGGTGTATTTCTCATAATTAGGTGTTTTAATCATTTTCATAACACTCACTACAAAACCAGTCTTTCGGTGTTTATTGCAAACGTCTCGCAAATCATTGACTGCTTTTTGAGCCGCGTCTATGTCTACCTGTTATTTAAATTATATTAAATTCTGTTATAAAATATTATGAAAGTTAACATTTTAAACTCCGTATATAATTTGAAGACAAAATTGATAAAATTTTTTAAACATAAAAATTCTTATAGTTTAGATACTTGTATAATACGAATAGGATGTTATCAATTTTATAAATACTTTTGTTAAGTTAAATGTAAAACTACATTACAATATGACATACCTTTTCCATTGATGTATAAGCAGTCAAGAGGAGATATAGTGAACGAACCAAACTGTGGTAAACACTTCGGTCACAATAGGGCTCAATAGTGGCCAACCCTTTGACCAAATCATTGCTTTTCATAACGTCTTCAAACACTTCATTCGCCAAACTTATGGACTCATCGATAGGCAAGTGATCGCTAAATACAGTATTAAATGAACAAAATATGAAATATATTGTTTGATCATATTTATAGCATAGAATTATATTACCTTTTCATTTTTAAAATAGCAAACTTATTTTATTTTCTACTGTTATTATTGAAAATGTGTAGTTTTTTTAAATGAGAGTATTTTATCAAAAAGTAACTTTTAATGTTGCTTATATACATGATTATTTTAAAAATGCATATAAATTAATTTTATAACAATAGATTATTCCAATATATCATTCATGTGAAAGATTTTGCATTAATTATAACATTATTTGTTATTCAAATTAGTTTAAACTTTAAATATTACGAAAGACTAATTTGTAAGAAAATATAAAATAATATTTTTATAAATAGTATATTAATTTCCACTTTCTTTGACAAATCACTTTAAATTTGACAATTCCTATTTTATGTCACGATAAAAATGCTAAATCTTTTAGTATGAATTATTCAATTTGGTTACTGCAACAATTGTATGTAAATTATTAATTAAGAACTCTATTATAAATATAGATAAAATCACTTTTGAAAACATAGCATAAAATGAAATATTGCAAAGTAATAAGTTTACAAAATTATTTAACAAATACGACATTGCACTTAATTTATCAATATAATGTGCTTAAACACTATGTCAATGTCAATAATCTTTATGTTTTAATTCCCAACTTCCTCTTCGGTTTCCAATACTTTTTCGTAACCTTTTTCGTCGATATTTATGTTTTTAAGCCATTGTTTTCGGTATTCCTCCACTGAATATAATTATAAATTAATATATTTAGTTCAAAGTTAAAACCAATATCTGTATAATAAGTTACTAGTAATATGATTATGATTGGCATACGTTTATTATGATCGGTGCCCTGTTTGGCAGTACAGAGTCCCAGCTCTCTAAGCGCCGCATAAGCCTTAAAATGTATATAATTTTCGTTCAGATATCCCGTGTAGTCGTCAATACATTTGTTCAATAACTCAATCGCTTTGTCATTATTTTTCATCTCAAACTCAATTAAACCCAATTCACAGTAGGCTTGCGCTGGAAGTGAAAACTGACTCCCAATACGAGATTCACTTTATATTAATCAAAATTATGTTCATATTAAATACAATTATTTTTAATGATTATTAAATACAAAATTACTAAATAACATACTTGTCGATAATAATTTGCTGACATTCTCGCGATTTGTGATAATCGGATAAAAATCTCAAAATAAAACCTTTATAGAAAATTGCAGTCAAATAGTTATCCAAGTAATCCGATGTGTCTATTAATTGGTATTTTTTTATTATTTGAGTATTTTATTACTAAAAATCTGCTTATTTTTAAAGAATTTACCTAGATCACATTGATATCGATTCACATATTTGTTAATCCTTTCTAAAATCCTATTCAACAGCACTGTATCGCTTCGGATAAACGACAGACAATTGATTTCATACAGCATTCCCTATTAATACAAAATATTTACTTTCTCTGAACAATAGTCTAATAAATATTTAGTACACAATATAATGAAAATAATTGATAAAACAAACCAAATCCGGAAGAATCAACAGCTCGTCGTTTTTCACGTACTCCTGAGCCCTGACAACCGCCACCTTTTCCGGTGTTATAGTTTTGCCCAAATGTCTGATCCGAAGGGTTGGCACAAGACTTACATAATTATAATAAATTATTTTAAATATTTTTCATACGATTTAGTAACTATTTGTTAACTCTTACTGGAATAGCTCAGTAGCCTTTTGTTTTTCATCCTGGTCATCATTTTCGGTGCTTTTTGCATATCTAAATATTGCTTCCATGTATGTAGCGATGGCCGGTGTATATAAGCTACCGGTGCGAAACTTTTCCGCGTATTCAATGCATGAATCCCAGTTAGATTGCAGTGCATATGACCAGGTTAGTTCCATGTATATAAATCGCTTTGGTGTCACGTGTGGGTCATTAAGCAATCTGAGATACAATTCAATACCTCCATCTATTTTGCCATTTAATTGAAATACTTTTGCCCGGAATATATTCAGAATTAAGTTCTGGCAAAATTAAATAAATTATGTTTTACACAAATATCTTTTGTAATTTTCATCATGGTTCATTAATAAATTAATATACTAACATTTGGATATCTATTGAGTTCCTTAGTTAGCACTTCATTGCAAATGTCAATATGTATGGGCCCGATACCAAAGTGTGTGTCAAAATAGGTCCAGTATATAAACCTAAACACTCTGGCCAACTGGCTGGCTATACCGGGCAATTCAAAAGCGGTTTTATTGATGTTGTTCCACCCGGTGCTCTCAACCCCTCTGATGCCCAAAAAGTTAATTATGCGCAAAATTTTAGGTGGCATATTACTGATCACCAAATGTGATACACCATTAGCCAGGCGTACACTCGACTCAAAATTAAGTCTCGACGCCTCACTTTCCCATTGGGAACGGGATCTCATTATTATCTTACTACAGCTAGATTTTAATGGTTGGTTTAATTTTAGTTTTTAGAAATATGATTTTAAGTTAAATGTTGTCTTACTTTAATTTCTTGACAAACCGTTGCAAACGATAGGCTAACTTAATGAGTGCATAGATATTATGCGTTTCGATGGCTAGTATTGTACAATCCAGAATGATACTATATGAGTGAATGAGCTCAGCATGCACCTCCACTAGATATATGGTAATTTAATAATGAAATAATGGTTAACTTAATTAATAAAAATAGCTATTCACTCACAATCAGTGTATTTCTCATAATTAGGTGTTTTAATCATTTTCATAACACTGATTACGAAACCAGTCTTTCGGTATTTATTACAAACTTCTCGCAATTCATTGACTGCTTTTTGTGCCACATCGATGTCTTCCTTTAATTTTTAATATTTTAAAATTTAATCAACTCCATTTTGTGTAGGTTTGAATAGTTAAATAAATATTACAAACCTTTTCAATGGATACCATTGCAGTCATAACGAAATACAAGGACTGAATAAACCTGTGATAAACACTTCGGTCACAATAGGGCTCAATAGTGGCCAACCCTTTGACCAAATCATTGCTTTTCATAACGTCTTCAAACACTTCATTCGCCAAACTTATGGACTCATCGATAGGCAAGTGATCGCTAAATACATCATAAAATTAAACAAACATTTTATCAATTAATAAATTTAATGCAAAAATCCATTAGCATACCTTTTCATTATTTATTGTGCACTTAAATGTGTTTAAGTTATATTTTCTATTTGATACTAAATGAGTTTTTGTATATGTTTAGTATTAATATAAATGATTTACTATAAAAATAAATAATTTAGTATTTAATTATTAAATTAATCTGCAAAAGCATAAATTTTTAGATACATAAACAAAATAATAATTTTTAATTATACACTAGCTCTGATTTCTAATACAGCATTTTAAATTGTGTTTTGTGTTAACACCTACAAAATATATTTTATATTTATTTGTTGATTAACAAAATTCTGTGTAACTATACAAATATTAATTGTTACTTAATTGTTTAATTTTTCCTTTATAATTTTGCCATAATTTTTATTTATTAAAAATACACTTCTCACACCTTTAAGGTTGAATTACGATTAATTAGCTTGGCTATGTAATTATTTTCTGACTATTTCCTAATAAAGTGATGATTAATTTAAAATTGTGTTTAATAGCCATAATTAATTATAAGTTATTAAAATTTTCCAATGCATATGTTCATTAATACAATGCAACTTAAAATTATCTAAATTATATAAATATGCATACAAAGTATCTAAAATTAATTTAAACAAGCTCTATTCTGGTTTCAATTATAATCGTAAGAATTATACAAATAGTTTTAATTACTTTCATTATCTTAAAATCTATTAAAAATTATATATTTAATAAATAGCATAAATTATTACTATAATTTTTTATAAGTACATTTTATGTACAAATAAATTATAAGTGACTAATTAGTCAGGGCATATTTACAGGATCAAGGAAATGTCCATTTCCAGATTTATTTGGAGAAATATAATATAGATAATCGTTTAAGATAATTGTCATTGAATATATTTGATTAACAATTTAGTTGCGTAAGTGTAAGTTGACAGTTAGCTTGTTTAAAGGGTTTTTGTTTTTTATAACCCAAGTGTTAACAGCAATTGACGTACAAACTCTATTAATTTAGATTAAGTTTATGTAAACTTATCATGCTAATTTTGTTTAGTAGTCGAAAGTTTCACCTTTCATTAGGTGACGTCAGGGCTTCTTAAAAATAACCAGGGAAACCTGGCGGTTATTATTATAAAAAAAAGTTTGTTTGAGCATTATTCTAATTCAATATTCAAATATTTTTATTATAATTATTATAATAACTATATAATTATTTAACGAAATAATTTTATTTAAATTACTTTGACGAATATATTAAACAAATACACTGTATATGAAGTAAAATTATTTGATAAATAAAAGTAGTATAAATAAAATATTATTTCACATACCAATTTTCTTAATTTGTATTTATTTACTATTTGGTAGTTTTGTTGTACACATATAACCAGTAAATTATTTGTAACTCACATTACAGTAATACAGTACTAGTACAGTATTTATAATCAAATCAAATTATGAATAAAAATATAAAATATGAATAAATTAATTGATAATAATGTTTGCTTTCTCTTCACTTTCGACTACTTTTTCGTAATTTTTCTTTTTTATGTTAATCTCTTTGAGCCATTGTTTCTTGTATTCCTCCACTGGGGTTAGCAATCAAATGGATAACAGATAATGAGATATAGATATAACAATTTACATACAAATAGACATACATTTCCCCTCATCTTCGTCCTCGTGCTCTTTGATGGCTCCCAACCCCCTGAGGGCCGCGTAGGCCCTAATCTGGACATAGTTTTCGTTGGCATAACCCGTGTATTCATAGAGACATTGGTTGAGTAGTTTAGTCGCCGTTTGCCTGTTGTTGAGCTCGCATTCAATTAATCCCAACTCCAGTACCGATTGGGCCGGTAATGAAAACTCACGACCGATACGTGAATCACTAATTTGTGTTAAATTGATATTAATTTGAGTTTTAAACACAAATTATTGAAAGTTTGTGTACTTTTTAAGTATAAAATCCATGCATTGCTTTGCGTTTTCATAATCACTCATAAATCGGTGAATAAGGCCTTTGAAATACATTGCCATTAGATAGTCATCCAAGTAATCGCTGGATACTATTATAGATAATTTAATTATTATCATAAATTAATGTTGATAATATATATTTAGAAATCTCACTCTGATCCTTTTCATAATTATTAATCTGCTTAGTAATTCTATCCATTATTTTACTCAATAATTGTTGATTGCCTTTAATACATGACAACCAGTTTAAGTCATATAAGATTTCCTATGAAATTATCATTGATTTAAAATTAATATACCGTAAGAAATATATAGGAAATACAGACCACTTCAGGCAATACTAAATGGTGTTCGCATTGGAAGTACTTCTCAGCCCTAACCACAGCCACCTTCTCGGGTGTCATTGATTTACCCAAACGTCTGATACGGATGTCGGGTATTGTCCTGATTTACAAGAATATATTAAAATCAATATACTAGCTTGATAACTGATAAAATAATAAAAGATCACTTACTCAAATAATTTTGTAGCCTTGGACATTTCATGAGGGTCATTATTGTCAGTACTACGGGCGTACCTAAACACGGCTTCCCAATACGTGGCACAACTGGGTGATACTTTGCAACAAGTACGAAATTTCTCGGCGTAGATAATACATTGATCTAGATCACATTTCAATGCATGGCACCACATGAGCTCAAGGTACATTACTGATTTAGGAGTCTCATGCGAGTCATTTAGCAATGTTGTGAACAATTCGATAGCCAGGTCTATATGTCCATCCAATTGCTTAAGTTTGGCGTTATATATATTATACAATAGATTCTATAATAGATTTACCATGGTTATTATCAGTCTTAGCAATTAATTATTATTTAACATACTTTTGGATACTTTTTCAATTGACTATTGACTAATTTTTGGCAGTACTCCATGTCTGGTCGGCCTAAAAACAGGTGTGTTTCCAGGAACCAATAGAAGGGGATACCAATTTTGGATATATGACCAAATATACCCGGGTAATCATTAGCAGCTTTCTTGATGTGTTTCCAAGCAATGGTTTCGTTTCCCCGAAATCCCAGAAAGTTGATGAGCCGTAAGATCTTTGGCGGAAAGTTACTGATAATGAGGTGCGACCACCCGTTGGCTAAATATATGCCGCACTCGTAGTACTGTCGGGATATGTCGCTATCCCAATGGGTACGGGTTTTCACTATTGTTTTGCATTGTCTACAATGGTTTCATACAAGATTTGGTTTGTATACTAAAGACACTTTGAAATTATATAAAATTATAGTCTACTGTATGATTAAATTACCGAAAATGTTTGACAAATCTCTGCAGCCGATAGGCTACTTTAATTAATCCATAGATATTATGGGTTTCCACCATTAATAACATTACATTTAATATGAGACCGTAAGCATGGACTAGTTCAGCATGTAGTTCCACTTATTATATTGGTAATAGTAATTAAGTGTCAATTAATTTTTATAGACTATATAAATACAATAACCAATAAAAGTACCAATACTTACAATCGTTATATTTGTCATAATTTGGTGTTTTAATAAATTTCATGAGACTAGTGATAAGGCCAGTGCGCCGGTATTTATTGCATAGTTTAGTCATATTAGACACAGCACTGGAAGCTCTGTCCACATCAGCCTGCAAAATTAAGTTATTGACATTAAATTATTCAGGATACATGACCGCAATATCAATTATGGTTTCAAGAAATATGAAAACCTTATCCATTGAAGTAAATGCAGTCATAACCAGATATAGAGAGCGAACAAAGCTGTGGTAAATACTGTGATCACAATAGGTCTTAATGGTGTCCAACGCCTCTTCAATGTCATTGGTTTGCATCACATCTTCAAACACTTTGTTCGCCAAACCTATGGACTCATCGATCGGCAAATGGTCTCTGAATTGTCCGATAAAATCATGGCTTAAATGTATCATAAATGGGTTATGAATAATATTATAGTGTTTAATACCTATCATTAGGTTCCGGACTCATTTTTAACACAATATTAATTTTTAAAAATAATAAAATTTATTTGAATTATTTTATTTATAATGTTTGTTCAACTATATAAAAAAACTTATAAGCAATTAAGTTACAGAATATTAATTTTGGTATCAAATATAAAAAACAAAATCTTATATATATATAGTTTTTAAAATCAATAATTTAATTAATGTCACCTCTAGCAAGGGGTTTTTAAATTAGCAAGTAAATAAACACAATGTGATAATTTGCACCTATAATTGTTTTTAAGTTCATTCGGTGTAGGTCCTGGTGCACAACAAATTCTATTGTTTATACAGTATTATCATCTAGCAACTTATCAGTGTTAATTTTATTTTAAATAATAACAACAATAATTAAAATAATGGTTCTAAAAATAATTTGAGGTAAATAAATATTATTAGAAATTTTATGCATAAATATAGTATACAGCGTAATGTTAATACGTATATAATTACACATGAAATTGTTTAAATAAATAAATATTCTCATTTTATTGATAGGTTCAAGCAGACCAGGATTATAAATTTATAGATTAGATTTTAAATTTATTTAATAGTAATCATCAATCAAGTATAATTGAATATTTTATCGTAACAATGTGTAATACTGTTAATATTTAGATAATGATAACAATTACAATTTATTCTTAAATGAATATAAAAATTTTAATGTTACCTATTTACTTGTTTATAATTCTATTAAGTATTTAATTAATTGCCGAAAATAAGTTTCAAATGACAATAATTTAGACTAGTTTAATTTAAAGCAATATTTACTCAGGTAAATATTTTTATAAATATTATCTTGCTATCTTATCGCTATTATACCTTAATAATTTCACTAATAAGCCCTATGACATAATGATAATACTGTAGCAATAAATACATTGTAATTTAATAGCTTATTAAATAAGTTATCTCAAAATGTGAGACTCAAATATTAAATAAATAAATTTTGAGTAGAATAAAAGGCATTAATAATAGATGGCAACCATTGACCCGATAATTTAATTTAATTTATTTTATTTGCAAAAACCTTTGGAACTTCAATGAGAGAATCCTATGGGGTTTCCAACAGGACTTTTACATTAGTATAATACTAGTAATCAAATAAACTTCTATTTAAACTTTTTACACATATTTTATGATTATATCCCGAGTATTTATTATTATATTTTTTTCTATTTCCAAGCGACTATATTTAATATTGACAGTGAAGTAAACTAAATGTTTGTGTATTTAATTAAATTATATTTCAAAAATTTAATTTAAAAATTAATCTTGCTATCAATCGGGGGTTGCCATGAAAAATGTATCCCCTATTTGACGACAATGTTCTCTTTCTCGGGTATATTCTCTCAATAGCTCTTCACTTTTGGCAATATTTTGGCACAATTTGCACAAATCAGGTGAACTCGATAGGCAGACACTGCACAGTGGGTGTCCTGTACTGGTGGGACACAAATGGATTGCAATCATATTTATCCCATCGAAGGGACAGGAGTTTCGCAAACCATGCGATCCATACAATCGACAATCATTTCATTGCATTCAATGAGACATACATTATAATGAGTTCATATAATCAATTTGTCTGTAATCATAATACAGTAATTCTATATATTCTTATATAAAAACTTCATTTCTTTAGTTAAAATGAAAATCATTTCAATTATCTCTTGACGTCTTAGGCCTGATGATGGTCTCAGTGCAGACCGAAAACCTTTTCTTATATTCTTTGATTTCTTATATTTTTTAACTCCTTTTCACTGATAGTCAATAAACTATTGAAACACAAAAGTTTCATATTCATTATGTTAATTGTGAGCAGCTAGCTAAGAATAATAAATGACAATACTTTAGTGAATTTTATAAACTTTCGATTGAGGTATTACTCGGTAATGTCGAAGGTTTAGCTCTGGATCAATTATCATTTAAATGAAAATGCTATATTAATTACTAATTAACATGTCAAACTATTGTAAAATCATACTATAGTAGGGGATTATGAAATAAACTAAATGATTGTGTAATTAATTAAATTTTATTTCAAAAAATGCATAATTAATATAAATATTAATCATGGTATCAATCGGGGGTTGACATGACAACAGGTATCCCCTATTTGACGACAATCTCCTCCTCCTTCTCGAGTATACTCTCATAGCTCTTCTCCTCGACGTTAATGTCTTTCAGCCATTGCTTCTTGTATTCCTCGACTATCACCGCAAAAAAGGTGTAAAAAATTAATACACAATTAAAACTCCTATAATAGCCGTACGTTTCATGTCGTCCTCCTTGAACTTATCGGTGCTGACGCCGAGCTCCCGGAGCCCCGCGAATGCCCGCAAATGGACATAGTTTTCGTTGAGATAGCCGTTGTAATCGCTGATGCATTTGTTGAGCCACTTCTTGGCCTCTTCGGTGAGACCCTGTTCCAGGTCCAGGAGACCCAACTCGAGCACCGACTGCGGCACTATTGACGTCTCCAACTTGATCTTCGAGGCACTGGTAGGAAATTTTTGTGGGTATTAGTCATTGCTTATTATGTAAGGGATATTAGGGTCAGGGATGTAATGATGTCTATGTGTTTACTAATGTGCTTCTGATATGTAGTGAAAGTTGGTCTCATTATTGGCTATTATATGTGATTTAGTTGTCATTATTATGATATGAAAAATCGATTGAAATGCTATGAAAACTATAATCAATTAGAGTATAGATAGTGAGAGAGATGTCAATCATTTAGATTGAATACATTGTATTAGAAGTGTATATTGAAAGTAATTGTCTATTGTATAGGATTTCTGGTAATAAAAAGTTTTTGTAGTTTGAAATTCATGCGAAACAAATTATGGTGTAATTATTAAACATAAAGTAAAATGATGTGGAATTTCATAAAAGTGTTATACAAGAAGCAAAAAATTATTATTGTTTTTCCATGTTTTACATAAAACCTGTTATATAACACATAATATTTTGTTATAACCTTTATGACATGAAAAAGGGTTACATAAGTTGTCATAAAAATTTTCCTTTCATTTTTCAATCGAGAAATGTTTGTAATAATTGTAAAATTTATGTAAAATCCTATTTGTATTTTTTATGTACTGTATACGAATAAAATAAATATTATTTTTTATAAACCCGTTAATTAAATAAAATTAAAAATAGGATTTTCAGATAAAATTTTTGATACATCTCTCGATTCAGTAACCAAAAAAAGTTTGGGGAAAAATTATTTTTAAAAACCAGACTTTCCTTATGATTAGTCATACAATAAGTTAATTGTCGGGAATTCATGATGAGGTACGACAGGTATTGTTAGGTATGATAAACATGTATCTAATGATTGTATAGACATTTAATACTTACTTTTCCACCACAGTTTGCATACACTGTTTGGCTTCCTTTGGTTTACCCAGTAGTCTGAGTAGGTATCCCTTATAGAATAAGGCAGCTAGGTAGTTGTCAGCTACATTGAACAATGGGCAAAGTTAATTAATCATCATGGTTAAAAATAAATGCTATAATTATTGTCGCTTTACGTACTCATGTCGTCCTTAAAATGGTTGACCTCCTTCTCCACTCTAACCATGAATTTATTCAACAAGACTTCGTTACCGCGGATCAGATTAAGCCAATTGAGTTGATATAAGAGATCCTACCGGTGCGGATAGTTAGGCAGATAAAGGGTTAGTGTTTATGATGTAATTTGCGCCGGTATCTCATTACTAACCATTTCGGGCAAAATAAGGAACTCCTTATTCTTGACGTATTTGATAGAGCACTCAACGGCCACCTTCTCCGGGGTTATAGTTTTGCCCAAATGTCTGATACGAAGTGTGGGAATGGATCTAATATTTGTGATACAATGAGTAATATATTAAAAACAAAGAATTTCAAAACAATTTAAAATAATAAGTATTCACAGAATCAATAAATTCTAGTAAACTATAAATTATAGTCTATAACTGTTTAGCAGAATATTCTATGAGTTCAGTGGTACATGGGTTTATCACTAGAGCATCGGTAGGTGAAATATCTACATACTCCATAAGTTTGGTGACAATCTGTTTCTGTTGGACATCCATG